AGAAAGCTTTATTTGTGTGAAAAAAGGACATAAATTTTGTTTGGGTACAGCATTGTAAGACTGTGCAATAGCGCAGTGTCGAACAGCAAAAAATGGCTTGGTCGGGGGGGGGGGGGGGTAAATCCTCTGGAGGGCAAGTGGTTAAATAGGCATTATTTGTTTATAAACCAAAAACAGGGCTGATAGATTTTATTTCCTCTAATGACAATATTTAACATACCGTATAATGCACACTAACATGAAGTAACAGATACAGTAACTGGTAGGTGAAGCAGTGTTATTATTTACAGTATACTGTATACATCCAATGAAGACATTTGCTGAACTGGTCCCTTTTCTTTTTTAATAGTGGTGGAATTTCCAGAAATCCAAACTGAGAACAGCTGCCAACAGCTGTTAGTGTTAAAACCTAATTAAAAGCCATTTAGAAATGATCTTTCTGTGAAGGAGCATTACCTGGCCTTAGATGCCCTTGCTTTCCTACAGACTGTGGGAATATCGGTTGGGCAATTCCCTGTCTGCATCACTTATGACAGAAAAGCACAGACAGATGTATATCAATTGATAGCATTCATTTCCTAATTAACCCCTAAAGCTGGCTATACACGAGCAGAATTTTGATAAAAAATTTTCATTTTAAGAACATTCCTTTGATTTTCTAACCGTTAGTGGGGTCAAATTGATGTTTGACTTCGACAACAATGATGAGAAAATGCGAAGGAGCAGGATGGATTTTCTTAAACAAACAAATTTCCAACAGTAGATTTTGGTTAGGAAATGACATTCATATTTATTAGAGGTACTTATATAGTGCTGTCAATTTACAGTGCTTTACATATAGATTGTACATTCACATCAGTCCCTAACCTTCAAGGGGCATACAATCTAAAGCCCCTAACTCACATTCATACACATACTAGGGCCAATTTAGACAGGTTCCAATTAACCTACCAGCATGTCTTTGGAGTGTGGGAGGAAACCCATGCAGGCACAGGGAGAACATACAATTTCCAGGCAGGTGGTGCCTTGGTTGGGATTTGAACCACAACCCTAGTACTGCCAGGTGGAAGTGCTAACCATTTAGCTACTGTGCTGGCCATATCAATTCATTCATTTGAAAATCTACTACTGTATAGTCAATGGTAGTTTCAGCTTTGGTAAGGATCAGACCCTAGAGTAAATCTGTACGTCTGCTGCTAATAACTGCTTATCATTTGTTTCCCTGCCACTCATTCACCCACTGGAGTCCCCTCCAAAATTTCCATGTATGTTCAGGTTCAGCTCTGGATTTACAAGGAGCAAAGGATCATTCACACCAGTCCAAAGGATACATGCATGTAAGCTTGTGTCAGCTGTGTAGGGGAGGGGCTTTGCAATATTACAGAGCAAGGCACTGTTTGTCTTTTTTTTTAACTTTATTGAAGTTTCACAAAGTGACACTATATTCATTCGAGCTTCATGAGCCACAGCACATTGCAGCACATTTTACACAACGTACTGCAACCCACCCTAACGCAGCATTGTGGTTTGACCAGGTTCACAAACAACTGTTTCTATGTCCCTTGTATTGAACCGATGTGGACCTATGCAGATCAATGCAGCCCAACAAAGATAGTGGAAATGAGCCCTTTAAGGCCCTTCAGGGATCTAGTGCCAGGCACCCAGGGCTTGTGCCTTGCAGCTCCTGCAGGGTGTGCAGGGTCCCTGATGCCGCAGTTGCTAACCACCGCAGCAGCTGACATCTCACCCTGCTGGCTGTCTGTCACACCAATAGACTTCAGAGCTGAGGGTAGCTTCCCCTTATCTCCTCCTCAGCTCAGATGTGACACATGACACAACAACACAAGGAGGTGCCTGGGAGGAAAAACAGCTTTTGGCTTTCTGCCACACTGTACGTAAGGTTTTAAAATTGAGGGAGGAAGGGAGGAATTGTACTTGGGGACACAATGACCTGGGGAATAACAAAGATTTGTGTGTGTGTGGGGGGGGATGCTGGGGATTCAGGAGAGAGATTTGTGTACTTTCTGTATTATGTATTCCTGACCCTGCCCTCTGTGTGTTATGTATTCCTAAATCTGGCACTGACCACCACAGTCTGTGCATTATGTACTCCTGAACCCTGCACTTTTTGCATTACTTACTCCTGACACCTGCACTCTGTGCCTTACAGACTCCTGACACCTGCACTTTGTGTCTTACAGACTCCTGCATACTTCTGATCAAAGTGTTCATTGTCTCAACAGTTGCTGGTTGCTAAGCAATCACTGACTATTCTAATGAAGCTCTTCTTCAAGGTAGGGTCAGGCAAAGTCTATTTTCAGCATGCACAAAAACATATATATTGGAAGAGTCTCATTTAAAAAAAATATTTTGCTGAGATTTATATACATGTCTGTGAGAGTTGTGGCACAGCAAACAAAGAATTTTCTATAGGTAGAAGGAGGCTCACGTTTTTTTAAAAATGCCCCTTCCACAGTTTGCCACGTTTCAGTACATATGCTGCATTACTTCTCTCTTAGCAACAACCCGGTAGCCATCCACTATCCTCCACATGACAGCATGTTTTCTTATTCTCTCTCCCCCCCCCCCCCCCCATATTTTCTTATTCTCTAATGCAGCCTTTCTCTATCTTTTTAACGTGAAGGAACCCATGAAATATCACCCAGTCTCAGGGGACTTTGCTCATTGCTCAAGAACCCGTAGTAACCCCTAGAGGAATCCTTTGGGTCCATATAACCTTGGTTGAGAAAGGCTGTTCTAACGTGGTGGGGGGTAATTTGAGGGGGAAGTGTCTATAGAAACTGTCACTTAGCTCTGAATGCTCAAGGTGGCAGGGCAAAATTTTAAAAAAAGATACCTGTGCAGAACATCTCCCTTTAAAGACCCCGCAATTGTAGAAAAATATGTGTTGATCTGCCCAAAAATGCGCTCAGTTCCTAATTGCCCTTATGTAGGCTGACAACACAGAGCCTTTGCTGGGCAGAAGTTGTAATGAAAGGAGTCATCTTCCCAGTTATCTTTTGCTGTAGCCCAAGAGAAGAACTGGGATGGCTGATTAGACTCATAACACTAAAGTCCTGAATTTTTGACAAGATCAACAGGTATTTTTTGCATTCACTGGATTGATATAACAAAACACAGCTCAAAAGGGATTAAAAAAAAGAGCAGTTCATGTGAAAAAAAAAAAGAAAAATGCTTATGTTTATGTGATAATAGGTAAGAATTCTGAGAATGAGTCAGTGATCATGGAAGTCAGCAGAGCTTCCCCTAATTCCCTAAAGTAGGGAAAGTTAGCCTAACGGGCAGTACAAAAACGAATTGGTTAGCACTTCCACCTGGCAGTACTAGAGTCATTGGCTTGAATCCCAACCACAACACCACCTGCCTGGAGTTTGCATGTTATCCCTGTGCACTGTGTTGGTTTCCTCTGGGTACTCCAGTTTCCTCCCACACTACAAAGACATGCTGGTTGGGTAATTGGATCCTGTCTAAATTAACCCTAGTATATGTATGAATGTGAGTTAGGGACCTTAGATTGTACACCCCTTGAGGGTTAGGGACTGATGTGACTGTACAAAATATATATAAAGCACTACATAAATTGACAGCACTATATAAGTACCTGAAACAAATAAATAATCTCAGAGGCATCTGAGATATTTGAGTTGATTTACTAAAGGTAAATAGGCTATTTACTTTGCAGCTGAATTTTCACCTTTCAAGGGAATTTTCCCTTAGATTATTGAAATAGGTGAATCTCTGCTGGCTTCCGTCATCTAATATTGTGCAGGCAAAAATATTTTTTTTCATTTTCCTTGAATGTGGTTGGGTATTCTTTTTTAACCGCATTCAATAAGCTAAGAGAAAATTACCTTGTAGCGCGAAAATTCCCTTGGAATTTTTTAATGACCTATTTGTCAGATCCCTCTGAGATTACTGCATCTGTATTTTTTTTTATTTGGCTCCACACTTCTTCCAAAAATTACAAAGAGAAACTATAGGCAGGCACAGACAATGATTGTTTTAGCACTGCAACTAAAGGCCGTGTTGACCGTCTTTGATGGGCAAATGCAACGTGCTTTTCACATCAGTTTAGGATGCTTTTGAGATCTTTAACCACTTGCCCTGCTGAGGATTTACCCACCATCCTGACCAGGCTATTTATTGAGTTACGGCACTGAGCTACTTTAACTGACAATTGTGCGATCATGCAATGCTGCACCCAAATGAAATTTACGTCCTTTGAGCTTTCTTTTGGTAGTATTTGGTCACCTGAGTTTTTCATATTTTGCACTATAAAAAAAAAGACCAACAATTTTGTGCACGGCCATCCAGAGCAGTGTGCTCGAGCTGACACACAGTCCTCCTCTCCGTCGGTGATAGTTGGAAATCACAGGGTGCCGGCAAGTAATTACCGTCCGGGACCCAGTGATCGACAGCCGCAGTGGCATGCGCGCTGCTCACCTTGTAACAGTATTTCTGCTACAGGGCAGTGGGGATGCGGTTAAGAAATCATTGCAGGTGAAACTGACCAGATTCTAACCTACATTTGAGCTGCTTCAGCGCCTTTTGTATTTCCATAGAATTTTAAATGTGGATGAAATAAATTTCTAGTAAATGACCTGAGCAAAACACAATGTCTACATGAGCAGCAAGGATGCAGACTGGAGGGAGGGGGGGTACAAAACGGAAAAATCCTCTTCATCCACTATGGCCATTTCGCAGAGCTTGGATATGAACACATGGGACAGGCGGTTCCTCCATTGCTAGAGTCTTCATTTTAGTGTGATGGACTAGAGCTGGAGGTTTCTTACAGCCAAGTACGAGATCTCCTCTAAGGTAAAGCAGACTGGAAATGAGAGAATTTCTGGTAGGCAATTGTATGGTGATCTTGTCTAGCTCAAACTGGAAGCAAACCATGGTGTCTGACCCCTCCTGGAAGGGGAAGAAACTTTCCCTCTGCTCTTCTCCCCAGACACTGTTCACCTTCGAGTTCAAGATTAACTTGCGCTTGACTCCATTAGGCTACGTTCACACTAGTGTTGTGTGCAGGTGGCAGAGAGGCATTTGGGAAGTGTTTTTACCACTTCCCAAACGCCTCTGCCAATTCTGCACATTACAGCACATGGTGCTGTTCTAATGGGAGCGTTTGCGTAGCGGCAAAATGGACGCCTCTGGTCGAGTCAGGAGGCGTTGAAGCCTCCTATTCTAGTCTATGGTGCCGCTCCAAAAACGCCCAGCCGGCGTTTGCAGTGCGGTTGCGACGCGGTTGCGGGGCATTTGTGGAGAGCTAACACCATTCAAACTGCATTATAGGCGTTTGTATGGGGGTTTTTAACACTCGGCAAATGCCTAGCAACTGCCGCTAAACCGCACATGCGGCGTTTGCGGAGCGTTTGCCGAGCGTTAAAAAATGCTCCGCAAACGCCGGACCAACGCTTGCCAAACGCTATAGGGGCGTTTGGCAAGCGTTGGTAAAACAGCCAAGTGTGAACGAGCCCCTAAGGTCAAATCGAGGATTAAAGTGTAGCACAAAATTCTTCTCATCTGTTCCCAAGTTTATGGCAAACATTATCTGCATTCATGCTTCTTTATCAGAGACACTTGTCCCACGTGTCCAGATCCAAGCTCTGCGAAATGGCCATAGTGGATGAAGGGGATTTTCCAGTTTTATACCCCCCCCCCCTCCAATCTGCATTCTTGCTGCTCATTTCCATAGAACTGTATGGGGGGAGAAGCAGTTTTAAACAAACTCCTTGACACTGGTCCTTATCCACCTGTGTGGGCATCCAAAAAACATCAACAGGCCTCATCCTTAATCAGGGAAAAGAAGGAGAACTAACTTTAAAACAATACATAAATGAATTCTGATTAGCTGCCTTAGATTCTACACTTGATGTGTAGTGCTTTGCTTCTTTAATAAACCTAAAACTGATGCCCAGCTTTCCATGAAACCCTAAGGCTTTTCCAGGGGTTGCTAGGGGTTCCTAGAGAAATTTCTGCCTCTCAGATAAGTAACCACCAACAAAAATGCTACCTATAAAGGAGGGGGGGGGGATCTTCCCACTGACCACAAATGTAGGGGGGTGATATGCCCACTGTTCAGCGTGGATGAACTCTAGACATAGTTTTTACTGAAAGGGTTCCTGAGACCAGAAAGTTATTTTGAGGGTTCCTCAGTGTTACAAAGGTTGAGAGAGACTGGTATAGATAATAATAAAAGTTTATTTTCCTCTCCACACTTTCCTCCTTCCACTGGTGGTACAAAACGCTACCAGCATAGACACATGGTGATAGCTGATAGCCATAACAAAAGACTACAAATCCCTTTCCTGAGATAACTCAATGACAGCACAATAAATACTGAAATATTAAAACAAAAATACATTATTTAAAACAGGGCTGTGTGTCCCACTAGAGACAGCTTAATCCATCATTGCTAATCTTCCTAATGCCATAAAATTATGGAATTATGTTGGAATGCATGAAAACATTTGACTTTTGCCAAATCGTGGAACTTCAGGAGGAACGTGACATCTATTTTCTCATCTGTGCGGTAACTTTTTTTTTTGGATGAGAATCAAAAGAAAAATGCTCACTAGGATGATATAAATATTCTTTCTTGGCCAAGAGGTGTGTGGGTAGAAGGGGCACCTTAAGGGTTCTTGTTGATGGGCATTCTTATGAAATGTTGCATTTTCCATTTGAACGCATGCAGATGTGTTTAAATAGGAAACACAGTGCTAAGAAAAGACAAGGCTGTGTTCATCCTGCTTTGCCTTCAATTCAATGCACATTAATAGAACATGCTGCATCCGAAAAAATGCAGTGCAAAGCAAACCAGGTCAAATGCAATGTCTGAAATGCCCTGTGTGCTGCTCCTTTAAAGTAGAATACCATGTTTTAAAGGGTAATTCACCTTTACAGAAAATTTTTTAAATTAGACCAAAACCATACGCTCTTCCCATCCACCTGGTTCCCATTGTACTTACCTCTGAGGATGCTGATCTGTCATTGCCCACACAGCTGGTCTATCAGCACAAGGCTTTGAAATCCCTGCTCTTCTCCCTCTCCTCTGAGCATCGCTGCCAGTACAGAACAGAGTGATTCATTGTGACAGTGCTGACCAATCAGAATCAATCTGGTCCATCCCACAGAGAAGAGGGAGCGGAATGGGTATTTCAAATTCCTGACAGCTCAGCATCCCCAAAAGAGAAGGACAGGAGGGACCGAGGGAAGGGTGTACTGTGTTAGTTCACCTTTACATTTTTTCTGCACTTTAATTTGAATTTAAATAGCTTGTTTGGGTCATGCTAGGCCAAACAAATTATTTTTCCATTACTAACTGATGCAGCCGCTGTGTGCTGTAATATACTGTAGCAGCATCAGCTACATACAACACAGTTAGTGGTGCTGTATTCCAGCAGTAGTATACGTTATTTCCTGTGTGCTGAAATTACATCGAGTCAGCCTAAATACTTCTCCACCATTCAGGACAAACCTTGTGTTTTTATCAATAAATCCAAGGTTTCCCTTGATTGGCCAAGGTGGAGAGGCGGGTAAATGATGTCATCTGGAATTCTGCATTAAATTTAATGGAATTTTACTGACCGATATTTGACATTGGTATTTCATACCCGTACACATTTATTTATTACAGGTACTTATATAGCGCTGTCAATTTACGCAGCGCTTTACATATATATTGTACATTCACATCAGTCCCTAACCCTCAAGGGGTGTACAATCTAAGGTCCCTAACCTACAGTCATACATACACATACTAGGGCCAATTTAGACAGGAGCCAATTAACCTACCAGCATGTCGTTGGAGTGTGGGAGGAAACCAGAGTACCCGAAGAAAACCCACGCCGGCACAGGGAGAACATGCAAACTCCAGTCAGGTGGTGCCGCAGTTGGGATTCAAACCAATGACTCTAGTACTGCCAGGCAGAAGTGCTAACCATTTAGCTACTGTGCTACCCATGTAGACATGAGCTGTGACATATTTTTTACGCCTGTCAATATGATTACTAACGCTAGCCATACATCTGGCAATCTGATAGAGCAAGGAAACTTTCAATCCCCTTTTTTGTTGACGTAGCAAAGCAACTAAAAGCATAAAAATGGTGGTTTCAATCAACCACAAGGGGATGGGATTAAAACTTGAACTTGACAGAAGACTTGCTTTCACCGAAATTTTTTCAAATGGAATTTTCAATAAATTGTATTGAAGTTGTAAATGTATTTTTCAGTTTCTGTTTCATAATTGATCCACTTCTGGTGGCCAATCAAATTTGCAACTTGCAATTTGTTCAAAAAGTGCAATCAAATAAATACCTGTTGATACTGCAGACACTCAGTGAGCTTCTTACGCCTGTGATCTCTGTAAGGTGTGGGTGTAAATGAACAGCAGAGTGGGCTATGTCTGTGTTCGCTCTGCATAAACAGAGTGAACACGAACCTGTCATCCGCCCGCTCTGCTCCAATCAGCAGGCGATCAGTGGACAGATCCCCTGATGATCCTAATGGAGTCTGCCTTGCATGAAAGGGGCCTAAAAGTGAGAGAAGAGGATCATCAATCACAGCAGTTGTGCAGAGTATCTAATTGTGGCATTGCAGTACAAAAAGCAGCAAAGTTAGACCCAGTACGCTCAGTAATCAGCACTCAGTAGCAGTCCTTGTCAGACACATACCTCTTCTTCCTCTGCAATACAAACCTATGTGAGGACACCTGTGCTGAAGGCGTGGCTGATACTCAGCTATGTCAGAGCAGAACACTGCAGAGGGAGGGCAGAAGCCACACATTTTCCATGACAGTAAAACTATTTAAAACAAAGTACAAATCATTGACAAACCGTAAGGGGGTACAGGACAACAAAGAGATAAAAGGCAAGAGTCTTCTAATGGGCTTTAATTTGCTTGCCACTTCAAGAGAGTTGCTTGACTTTGGTTAGATTGCTGCATAATTGACAAGTATGATTGCTTCCAAGTATAGAGATTATTAAAAACCATTTACAATACTTAAAAAGATATGAGGTACATTAATAAAGCATTTGCAGGTGTTGAATATGTGGTGCCAGTGAAGACGAGCCCTAAGGACTCTGGTCTCTGAAGAGTGATCTGTGTTTGGAATGCTTATCAGAGAGCACTTGACAGGCAGTGAGGACATGTTGTATTGCCTGCTTTAACTGCATTGCACACAGTTGCGGGACACTTGCAGAGCAGCCCTGTTCACTTGAATGGGTCACATTTATCGAACGTATGCCCACTGAAAGTGACAAGGGTTATAATTGTTGGAATTCAATGTTCAACTACAGATATATTCTTCAGCCAGAAAATGGCAGTGTTTATAAGTTTGTAGCTGCATCTATGACTATACTGTTAGCAGAAAAGCAGCTGATAAACACATCGTGGACTGACTCTCTGTTCTGTAGGGCTATAAACACAGAATCTCTTGTAGTAGCAATTTTGGAAAACCAGGTAAACTCCGGACATGGACCTTGAGGAAAACAAGTGATTTATTAAAGCAGCGCTGTTTGACCCAGCCGAACTCATGCCTGCAAAGCCGAGTGAGTTGTATCCACTTCTTACAAGCGTATATATTGATGATTATGTCACAATGCATATTTTTCCGCTTTCACTTTCTACACAATCAAAAGACTTTCTAAACTCTGCAGAATATAGCCTTGAATTCCAGCTACAGATAAGGGTGCTAGCTACAGGCGGGAACACATTACTTTACAGGAAATAAGGGAGGGGAAAGTAAGCTGAAAACCTTGCTTTGCAAGCAGATACTATTGGAAATGTTAAAGTTTAAAGGGGAACTCTGAAATATCTGAGTGTTGCCACTCTCTAACAATAATTCCTGCCACATCCTTGGCTGGAGACAGGGGGAGGGGGCAGAAAAAAAAATGTATCTCAACCATGGAGTTTTACCACTCCTCAACCGCTAGTGTGACTGAGCCCTTATTCTCTCTCACTTAGTGGTGATCAGACTGCAACATTGTAACTTGGTAGCATGTCAGAAGGTGAGAGGCTACAGCAGGGGCAGACATTGTGTCAGACTTTGGAGAACACAGCACCAGGTTCACATGATTGTGTCATTTTACAGGTAGCATATCTGTCCAGGGTTTAGATACTGACCCTGAATGATGGCTGAACAAGAATGGCTTAGTTGTAAAGTAGCTGAAGGTATTGTCAGAGGGAGCACTGTGATCTCTGTATGAGGTAATGAACCATATTACCTAGTACTGTACTTGAAAAATCTGACGCCAGGACCACTTTAATACATTAGGCTTAGTTAGCAGCTGATGATCAGGGAGGCTAACTGTATACAATAAATTTAGCCACTACAGGGAGGAACTCCAAATGCCTAAAAGTATAACGAAAATAAAAACATGGAACAGCAAACATGTAATGTGAAAGCCACAAAGAAAAAAAATACAAAGATTTAAGGTAAACTTTATAACAACCACCCAAAATATGTGTTTTCTGCAAATACATTTTGGTTTCCCGGTAATTATTGATCTGAGGCTTGTAAAAGT